GTGCTTCAAGGCTTGGTTGCAGAGTTCGAGAGTAACTCTTTGAATGTGTATATGCTCATACCTAACTCACAATGTATATGGTCTGGGTGACCAAGGATCAGCTCAACCAACCAAGCCTCTCCAGAAAGCACAGATGTGTGGTATGGCTGTATATTCTTAGGGATCTCTCCAGAGAGGAGATTGACCATTAGCTTGGTAAGAATCTGGACAATGATGAGGACCTTTTCTCATATGAGCTTGTGCTGAGCATTGATCAGTGATATGAGCATAATATGAGCATCGCAGCTGGCAGTCAACTTTCAATTTCCGACCATTCTTACTAATCACCCAATATATCTTTGTAGAATTGTCAAAGAGTGTAGTGAGACTATGTGAACATACCATACAGACCCTACACTGTGCCTGAGGCATGATGAACAAGATGTAACCCTTTTCGGCAATGAGTGTGGGTGTTGAGATGTCCTATTTCTTTTTCCCCACCCTTTGCACCCTCATTTTGTATTTACCCTGGCCAGCTAACAATGATGTTATTTTTCCTTGTCCCTCCATACCTGCTACAAAAACATACTGCACATTACTGCCTGGTTTTCTCTGTGACAGTCAAAGCAAGCAGGTGACCCACCCCCCAGAGTGGCTCTGCCTGCCTCGCCTCTGCTAAGCTGTTGCTCGCCCAACCCAACCCAACCCAACCACTGATAAGACCTAGTGTGACTCACACAAGACAAGTCAGCCCAGACATCCTCACAACTAACAACTGCACCTTTTTCACCTCAGGCAGCAGTTTTTTGGAGGGATGGTGGTCTGTTAGATATATATTTTGTGACAGCAACAATGTATCTAACAGACCCTACCTCCAGCAGTGGTTCCCAGATGTATCTAATTATGGTTATGCTTCTTGAAGTGATCCACCCCTCCCCTGCCAAATCTGGATATGTCTTCTGCAACATAAGTGAAATAGGGTAATTTACCCCTATTCCCTATGCTTCTGATGGACAGTGTTACTGATAATCCCTCTGTTGACCCTCACTCAACCATCTTGAGAGCCTCTCAAGATCCTCACCCAACCATCTCAAGAGCCTCTCACCAACCTCCATAGATACACATTTATCATTCCAATATGGCATCCCATGGCTTCTGAGTGATTGCATAATCAATATGTGGCAACTTGTTACAGACACACAGTGACTCAATCATCTTGGGAGCCTCTCAAGAGCCTCACCCAACCATCTCAAGAGCCTCTCAGCAACCTTTGAAGATATATATTTATCATAGTAACATAGTAACCTGTGCATCTGAATGATTATGTAATCAAGATGTGTCATTGTTAATGAATCTGAGATCTGTGGGCCCTGAGATCTCAGATCTGACCTGCACTTCTTTGTGATTATGTAATCAAAAAAGCGGACTGAATACCCTGCTATCCCCTGGCTTTTTCAGCTTCACCACACACTCTCCCTGCCTTGTGAGATGTTCTACTGAGTTCCAATGGAATGTTTGTATGTTATTTCATAGATACACATGCAATTTTGATCCAGTTAAGTGCCCTGGAAGGATGCCAAAATAAATAGGGGTAAAATGTGAACTCTGTCCGCATTTTTGCAGTTATTGACATATGAACATGTGAAATGTGTCCCCAGGCAGCCTTAACATACATCTATGATGTATCAAAATCCCAAGGCATCAGCACTAGCCCTTACAGAGATATAATTAGTTCCCCTCTTCCACACTGTATGGGGTCCAGGCTAGTATCCTTGTCATTTCTGGGTTTTCTAATGCATTGGGCCTATGGAGGGTATACAGTAAAATGTCTAATTAGAAGGGCTTGGGTAGTTTAGTTGAAGGATGAGGTGTCAGGCCACTATCTTTCTTTTTTCTGATATGGCCACCATGGGACTCCTGTATGGATAACTTGTGATGTAATACCTTGGAATGGTTCTTTTCCAGTATGTCTACCAGTATCTAGAGTTCCAAGTCCATCAATTCAGGATTGGAGGAGCAGGAAATAAAATGAGTTCTGAAGAGTGTGGGAAAGTAACCAAAGATTTTAGGAGACTTTGAAAACATGTAAAAAATCTGTAATAATACAACATACAGCAATGAAATGATCAATATATGTGCATGGTTAGATTGCTACTGTCATTTCACACCTCTCTATACCATCCTTCTGTTGTCCAACCTGTCCACTGAGTGCCCATTGCATAGATGTGTTACAACTTTGCTAGACTCTGCTTCAGTCTTGCAGTGCATACATGGAAATGGAGACCAGGAGGCTTTCACATTTTTGGCATTTCATGCAGCTATATTATAGTGTCATTGCTATCAGAAGTGTTCATTGCATCAGCCACATACTATCTCTATAGTATCATGCACATTGGAGTGCTGTGTGTTGTATTATTACAGATTTTTTACATGTTTTCAAAGTCTCCTAAAATCTTTGGTTACTTTCCCACACTCTTCAGAACTCATTTTATTTCCTGCTCCTCCAATCCTGAATTGATGGACTTGGAACTCTAGATACTGGTAGACATACTGGAAAAGAACCATTCCAAGGTATTACATCACAAGTTATCCATACAGGAGTCCCATGGTGGCCATATCAGAAAAAAGAAAGATAGTGGCCTGACACCTCATCCTTCAACTAAACTACCCAAGCCCTTCTAATTAGACATTTTACTGTATACCCTCCATAGGCCCAATGCATTAGAAAACCCAGAAATGACAAGGATACTAGCCTGGACCCCATACAGTGTGGAAGAGGGGAACTAATTATATCTCTGTAAGGGCTAGTGCTGATGCCTTGGGATTTTGATACATCATAGATGTATGTTAAGGCTGCCTGGGGACACATTTCACATGTTCATATGTCAATAACTGCAAAAATGCGGACAGAGTTCACATTTTACCCCTATTTATTTTGGCATCCTTCCAGGGCACTTAACTGGATCAAAATTGCATGTGTATCTATGAAATAACATACAAACATTCCATTGGAACTCAGTAGAACATCTCACAAGGCAGGGAGAGTGTGTGGTGAAGCTGAAAAAGCCAGGGGATAGCAGGGTATTCAGTCCGCTTTTTTGATTACATAATCACAAAGAAGTGCAGGTCAGATCTGAGATCTCAGGGCCCACAGATCTCAGATTCATTAACAATGACACATCTTGATTACATAATCATTCAGATGCACAGGTTACTATGTTACTATGATAAATATATATCTTCAAAGGTTGCTGAGAGGCTCTTGAGATGGTTGGGTGAGGCTCTTGAGAGGCTCCCAAGATGATTGAGTCACTGTGTGTCTGTAACAAGTTGCCACATATTGATTATGCAATCACTCAGAAGCCATGGGATGCCATATTGGAATGATAAATGTGTATCTATGGAGGTTGGTGAGAGGCTCTTGAGATGGTTGGGTGAGGATCTTGAGAGGCTCTCAAGATGGTTGAGTGAGGGTCAACAGAGGGATTATCAGTAACACTGTCCATCAGAAGCATAGGGAATAGGGGTAAATTACCCTATTTCACTTATGTTGCAGAAGACATATCCAGATTTGGCAGGGGAGGGGTGGATCACTTCAAGAAGCATAACCATAATTAGATACATCTGGGAACCACTGCTGGAGGTAGGGTCTGTTAGATACATTGTTGCTGTCACAAAATATATATCTAACAGACCACCATCCCTCCAAAAAACTGCTGCCAGGGGTGACCTTTTTTGCATCATCACCTCCTGTTCAACTTGCTGCATCCCTTTACATTTGCATCACCTTCCTCATCCGCATCCATCGCATCTGCCCCGCGCTTGTTTCGCGCTTCTGATGTACGACTACCAGTAGCAGGAGTGGGACCGGTAGCAGCAGCTTTCCCCTTTCTTCTCGAGGCTTAAATTCGCGTTTAGGTTTGGCAGATGTCCAACTAGACAGTCTTGGTGCCTATCCTGGGGCAGGCAGGGACGCAGTAGTCGTCGCCGTGGGGTGGTCCTGACAGGAGGAACCGTCTCCAAGACTTGGACCGGGAGTGTCAACATACTCATTCATTAACGAGCTACACTCATGAACGTGTCAACGTTCTCGACGTTCTCAACGTTCTCAACGTTCTCAACCTTATTAACGTTCAACTGTTCATACGCTGTCCTGTGGCCAGCTTGGCCATGTGCCCATGTACACGTGTCAGTGCCACTACCCTGACAGGGACCATCAGCCCGCAGCACGTTAACACAGAAGATTACAGATCATAACCAGAGGCACGTTTGCCCTCTGAAATCATTTAAACAATCCAACCCTTGCCACAGGCAGTTTTTCTTTAACACACTAGCCATGAGTGATCAATTCGATTTCGAGGTCAGGGTGGGCCTGATCATCATGTGCATGGCATCTGCTGCATCAGCGCTCGCCGTCGGTGGTCTGTTGCTTTACATCGCAGTGAGTTTTTTCCTTCAGCGCCTCCGGCAGACTGATTTTCACAGTATAGCGCAGGTACCATCAAGCGAAATGCCTCGCGACGGTGGTCCACCGACACGCATATACACTATTATTTTCTCAATATGATGATTTCTCACCTTATCTTATCTATTGGTCGGTACATACTATCATGTGGTTCCTATTACCGACTGACAACGTACAGGTGAATTGCTCAACATCCAGTGGATCGTAGACGCGGTGAGCCTTCACCGCGTTTGTGACGCCTCGCGCTCACTCATTTAACCGCCAGAGGCTGTACCCCGGTACTGTTTGCACCGTTCAAGGTATTTCCTCTTTCACTTTACTAAACGCTCGTCCTTCATAGCACGTAGGTTTCTTGATCCAGGTGGGTGATGTTGGGGTTGCTCTTAGGTGCGTATCGAAATCGAAAAGAAACCCCCTTCACGTGCTCACAGACTTGCCTTGTCAGTACAATGGTACGCCAGTTACCCAAACGGTCGTGGTAATGAAATAATGATTTGAGATAGGCCATCGCTATGCACGTGCTGCAAGTATTGGTGCTACAGCGGAAGTCCCCACCAAAGTTTGCGCTCCTTGTACTGGCAATAATTTGGCTGGTCACCCTTTTTCTGGTTGTCGTGCCGCCGATCGTGGTTCAACACAACATTTATGGTACTAGTGACCATTGTAAGTGTTTATAGTTCAATTTTACCTTGATAACCTGAATTCTCACTGCTGTTCAGGGTGTTTCGTTGACGGAAGTACTACGATGCAGGTTGGCCTCGTGTTTATATGGTTGTGGGTGACTGGGGTAGTGGACGTCATCTCATACTTGTTCCTTGCACTTGTTATCACGCGACTAGTTCTTGTAGATGGACGCAGGTTTCGATGGAGGAGAAAGCAGGACTCGAGAATAATTCCATATGGAGTGGGGACGTCTGCAGAGAGTGCCAGAGCAATTCAAATCCTCTCGTAAGTGGCTCTTAGTCTAAAATTGGTGGCTTCTGGATCAATCACTTTACAGTTACCCGCTCTTGTACATTGTACAAGTGAGCGATCCTCGGTGTCTTTGATATGTTTATACTGAACGAGTGATAGGTGTTACCTCACTCAGTAGCTCGTTTTCTTCAATTCAGCGGTCATGACGTTCCGTTTGCAGTGACAGCTTTCACCTCCACGTTGTTCGCATCGTGTGGTCTGTTCAACACGATCTTGTATGCTTTTACTCGTCCGGGGTTGATGCCAGGCAGACCTTCGTACGTTCCACAGTCCGTGCATGTTGCTACTGCGCGGGTGGCGCACAATCGCTTTGCACAGGGTTACATGGTGGAGGATGACAGCTTTGTTACGGAGACTGGCCCGGTCCAGGCGCCATGAGATGGCAGATTTTCTTCAGTCTCCAGGGTCTGCGTGAATATAGCCAATTATCGTACTGCTGTTATATTATCATTATCATTGGTGAATAGATTGGCTGGGTATTAACAGTAGATTATGTTAGCCATTGTTCCCTTTAAATACAAGCCAAATAATTGAGTAACTCGGTGAAAGTCACTATTGACCCCATTGCAAATGGAGCCATGTGCTATTGTGAATGCATGGAAATGCAATTGGAGAGGCAAGCTGAAATGTACAATACTGGTGTGAGACTGCAGTGTGCATGTGGAAAATGGGCAAGGTGCACTTCAAATGTCAAGCCAGCAACTGATGCCCTAACACTTTTAAGACACTTGGAAAAAATGGGGACAAGTTAGGGCTGCAACATTGGTTAACTAATGGTCCTGGATGTTACTTGTTCACCCTTCCCTGGTGATATAAGGTTGCCATCTCAAGTGGATGGAAGGAAAGTACCTGAGTATGAATGTGTCTGAGACATCTTCCCTATCCTCTATCCCTTGTGTCAGAGGTACTGCTAATCCATTATACATTTATTGGTTTGCATTCTACACTGCCCTGCCCTTGACCTACATCATATATAAGGCCACATAGTACTCTGATGTAATCAGTACAAATATCAACAATAAAGTCCCCACTTCCTACTCCCTCTGAGTCCCCTCTGGAGTTTCATCTCTAATGAAGGTATGAGCGCTCAGTGTATGAAGTAATCACTTTATTAGTACCTAACAAAGGTATAAGTTCTACACTATGTCATACCAAGTAAATGAATGGAAATGTAGCTATACTCACCTCAGTGTACAAAGTAATCACTGAGGTGGAAAACAACAGTGCAGAAAATTTATAGTACCATAATTAGTAAGTGGGCTGACATTGGAGTTTAATTCTGAAGGCAGAGAGAAATTCAGAGCACTCTGGGTGAAACTCCAAGACATTACTGTCACTCCAGAACACACACTTGACACTCCCCCTCAATCAGAACAAAGTCCAAGTGCAGATGTGAAATGTTTCACATTAATGCTAGGTAAAGGTTTTGTAAGGGTATTGGTGACCATGTCATCAGTAGGACAATAGATAAGATGAAAAGAATGATTTTCCACAGCAAAACAAATGAAATGGTATCATATGTCAATGTGCTTTGTGCAAGCATGGTAGCTGCCATCTTTGGTGAGTGCAATGGCAGATTGACTGTCAGAATACAGTGGGGTAGGATGTTTGAGTGGGCAGAAAACTTCACTGATGAGTTGTTGAAGCCATAGGCCCTCTTTGGCTGCATGGGTTGCTGTGACATACTCTGCTTCTGTGGTTGAGAGTATGACAAGTTCCTGCTTCTGTGAAGCCCAACTGATAGCTTCACCATCTAGTAGGTAGGAATATCCACTTATAACATGTTGATGCTCCTGGAAGTGAGGTTGGCTGATGCAGCTATGGGATGAATTAGTGACCTGGAAGTGGGATTGGCTGACACAGCTATGGGATGAATTAGTGACCTGGAAGTGGGGTTGGCTGTCCTGGAAGTGAGGTCAGCTGATGCAGCTATGGGATGGATTGATGACCTGGAAGTGGGGCCAGCTGACATGGCTGGGGGAAGGGATGATGCCCTGGCAGTGGGGTCAGCTGATGTGGCTGGGGGAATGAACCATGACCTGGAGTTATGGTTGGGCAGACACTTTGCAAGAAAGACCAATATCTTGATAGTGGGTCAGTGGGGCTGGCCAATCTTATTACTCAGTACACTACTTCCTTGGTAGTTAGCTGGCTGAACCCACAGGGTTGTAGAAAAATCCTATGTCCTATCCTTATCCTGTGGTATTGAAGTTAACTCTACCAACCTGGCCATTGTGTTGGAATTAACATTGGACAAATTTACTCAGTTGTGTATCAGTACTTAAGGAGGAATTGTCCTGCAGGAAATTACTTTTTTTTCTGAACATTCAATGTCATATGAAATTTGAAAACACAAAGCAGCCATTTTTTATTGTAGTACATGCATATCATATGTATCAAGGTAGGGTATTTCACAAAGATTCCAACAGCCAGGATGATGTTTGCCCCTTTCCCTGTGTCAGTTTGGTAGCCCCTTTGGACATGCAGATAGTATAGGTTTTGGGAGGCTGAGATGTGCCCTGTGTGTCCTTCCCACAGCCAGGATTCTTGCACTCATAGGAATAAGTCTGCCCTGAACAACCAGCTTCCCACTTCTGAATGCTATAACACTGAGGGCACTGGGCAGGCAATTGTTGTCCCAAAGGCCTGATGAACTTGTCAGTCCAGATAAATTTCTCCACCACTACCTTCTCCTGCCACAACATCAAGATGATGTTGGAGTGCCTACCCAACATACCACAGTCATTCAGGGCATACCTGACTGCACTTTGGACATGGAAGCCTTGAACAATGGTGGAGTCAAGGACACTCATGAGGAAGGGAATGGTGGTGACTAGTTGAAGTCTCTCAGCATCAAAAAGCAGCATGGACCTTGGCTTGAAACTGATATGGTGTCAGCCATAACCACCAACATTGAAAGAAAACCTACTGTTGCACAGCTGCCTGCAGTCCTTGGAAGCTCTCCTCCTTCCTTACAGTAGAACCACATACAAAGAAGATGAGGTCTCCACCCTTGACAATGTTGGAGAAGGGTAACAGAAGGCCATGCAGAAACTGCAACTGGTCAGATGGGAGTGACAGTCAAACAATGGTGACTTACCTCAAAGACCTCTGTGGCTATTGGAACCTTATTCTCCATTCCAGAGAACAGATCCCCCCTGTCTTCATCAGTATGGGTAGTAAGGAAAATGACTACCTCAGCAAAGGTAGTCAGACTTGAAGCTAGCTTTGATGCTGCAGTGTCATAGGCAGCTCTGGACTCCTCAGTGGCAAAGTTGAAGGGCAGTTGTGAGAAGTGGTAGGTGTCTTGTGTGAAATATCCCTGCAGCATGGTGTGAAGGATATGCACAGGGGCATGGCCAAGCTCCAGAGACTCAAGGTGGAGGTGGATAATGGCAGTAGAGTTACCAGCCACTTCAGAGGTGGTAGCATGCTCAAACCCCCCAATGACCACAAGAGGGTGTTTCAGGACTGGCTTGCCTGACAAGTAGAAGCCCTGTACTTGGAGTTAGAAGTGATTGGGGTGGCAATATGCACTTACAAAATAGGGCTGAGGACTTTCAAATCTTGTCATTTTCCAATGACAGGCAACACACCTGAAGTTCATCCAGAGTTTGAGTCAATGGCATTGATTCATAAAAGGGAGGTTAACACACCTGAAGGTCACAGGAAGCTGGGTGACCTCTGCAAGGCAATCCTCAGGTACTACAACACACTTGTTACACACTACCCTTCTGCAACCTGCCTGATCACAAGGCCACAATGTCCCTTCATCCCTGCACATCACACAGAACTGCATAGAATGTTAGAAAGATGGAAGGAATATAACAAGAGACTTGCCAAGTTCCTCATCCTTCTCTTCTTGGCAACAGGGGCCTTCCTAGCATGGGCCTTGCTTGACTTGGAAGCTTGTTTTTCCCTAGCTTTCAGACCAGCAAGAGATACCCTGGGAGCTCTACCTCCAGTGGTCTTCTTAGCTGTCTGCTTGGTCTTCACCATCTAAGTTTAGTATGCTAACATTAGTGAGTGGCAGCAGCGTATGGCACAGAAGGGAACAGTAGCATACCTTATTATCTTTACAAGACACAAAAGGGGTAGGGGACAAGCAGTAAGATAATGATAAATGCATTTAGTTTAGTACATATATCATGGAGCAGGAATAGATGTCTACATATTTATGGAAAAGACAAGCCAATGTATGCAACTACACACAACACTGGGCACTGGATAAGCAGACCAAAGAGGGTGATGTATAAGTATCATCTGGACACCATGGAGTAGAAGTCCAACAACATACCTTATAGGATGAGACACAGCAAGGGAGATGCAGTGTGGCAGGAGGGAGATATGAATTGATAGCCTACTAGTGTGTTTTGTGAGTGGTACAGGGATGCCAGGAACTGGGATGACATACCTTTTGTAGGATGAGACACAGCAAGGGGGTGTTCTGTGAGTGGTAGAGGGATGCCATGACCTGGGATGACATACCTTTTTTTTGGATAAGCATGGTGAGGGGGTGTTCTGTGAGTGGTAGAGGGATACCACAACCTGGGACAACATACTTTTTTTTTTGGATAAGGCATGGTGAGGGGGTGTTCTGTGAGTTGTAGAAGGATGCCACAAAGCTGGGATGACATACCTTTTTTTTTGGATAAGCACAGTGAGGGGGTGTTCTGTGAGTGGTAGAGGGACACTGTGAGCTGGGATGACATACCTTTTTTTTGGATGAAGCACAGTGAGGGGGTGTTTTGTGAGTGGTGGAGGGATGCTGGGAACTGGGACAACATACCTTTTTTTTGGATGAGGCACAGCAAGGGGGTGTTTTGTGAGTGGTAGAGGGATGCTGCAAGGTGGGATGATGTACCCTTTTTTTGGATGAGGCATGGCAAGGGGGTGTTTTATGAGCAGTAGAGGGACACCAGGAACTGGGACAGCATACCTTTTTTTTGGATGAGGCACAGCAAGGGGGGGATGTTTTATGAGTGGTAGAAGGATGCCAGGAACTGGGACAACATACCATTTTTTTGGATGAGGCATGGCAAGGGGGTGTTTTATGAGTGGTAGAGGGACACCAGGAACCGGGACAACAAACCTGTTTTGTGGATAAGGCAAGGTGAGGGGGTGTTCTGTGAGTGGTACAGGGATGCCAGGAACTGGGATGACATACCTTTTTTTGGATGAGGCACAGCAAGAGGGGGGGTGTTTTGTGAGTGGTAGAGGGATGCCATGAGCTGGGATGACATGCCTTTTTTTTTGGATGAGACATGGTGAGGGGGTGTTTTGTGAGTGGTAGAGGGATGCTGTGAGCTGGGATGACATACCTTTTTTTTGAATGAATGGGCTTACAATGTGAGTAGTATGGGACACCGAACAATGCACAATAGGCTGAGAACACTGGCAGTGTCCTGCTGTGTGATGTGAGTGTTGAAAAAGATGCCATGAGAGGTGCAACAACATACCTTTTTTGTTTTTTTGAAGGGAGATGTGCCATGACATACCTATTTTGTGTTTAGACAGGGAGAGGTGCAAGGGATTTAGAGGATGATGACATACCTAAAATTTTGCTGAGATGCAGTGGGGCCAGAGAGTGGGATAGTGCAATGATGGCCAGTGAGGGAGACATGGTGTGGCAAGAAGAGAGGAGCAAGAGACCATGTCAATCCAGATACTTGGATGCACAGATCTTGATTTTGGACAGGTGGACACTGTCATGTAGTGAGATCTATGATAATCTTGACACAACCTTAATTGTGACATGAACAATGTCACAGCTGTCATGATTATCACACCTGTTTACCCATACTTTGGACATGTCTCTGGAACATTATGTAGGACTATGTACAGAGTGGTCAGTCACTGCTGGGCCAATTTTCCAGTTTCAATAAGTAGGTGGCTACATGTATTAAATGATCCAGTAGTGCTACTATAATACATTTGCTGTGAAATCCCAAGGGTAAGCCACCACTACCACTCAGCCAATGGCACAAGTGAGTGCTTGCTTGGCTCAACACTGCAATTACAAGAATGTCAAATGAACATTTAGTATTTAGTATATAGAAGCTGAATCCAGTGACAGTGGAGTCATGTGACATTGCTATTTGCTATGTATAGTATGACACATGGTATTGACTCAGAGGCAGTTGCCAGCATGTGTGGCATGTGCTGAGGCCAAGGACATGACATGCATAGAAGCTGAACATTGACAGCAACCTTGCTAGTTGGACTGGTGCCAAACAACAGTACATAAGGCTCAAGTATATAAATCCCCCCCAGTCATTGGCATGGTGTTCCTTTCATCACAAATTTTTCACACTACTTGATCACTGTTACATTGTAGCATCCTTGGCACCTCCTTACTGAATGTAGTCTGCAGCTACAGGATGTAGGGAGGGGCTACCCTCCCCCTTAGATTGTGCTTGGCCAGCACAGTTTTCAGTTGGGGGGTAATATGTTGGGTCTGGGGGAATAGTCTGTGCCTATTTTTTGTAGGTCAGCTCATATGGGATCTGGGGGCTAGTCTGTGCCTACATTGTAGGTCAGCTTATGATGTTTGGTTTGGTTTGTACCCACCTGTGTGGGTCAGCCTATGATATTTTTTCTGTGTAGTATGTGCATGTATATATTGGTAGTAGCTAGTTGGTCAGAGACTTTGGTGTAGTGAGTATTCAGCTTTTGTATAATCTATGTTGTACTGACATAAACCTTGTAGAGCTGTTTGTCTTTGTCTCCTGGTGAATAGTGCACCTCAGGTATGTGAACCTTGCAAAGTTGTGTTGATGCTAACATGCTTTTAGGATCTTTGTTATCATCTCTTGTGCACTTTTTTGGGAACTTGGTTGAATTGAGGATGGTTTTTATTGGCCTGACTGTACTTCTGGAGGAGGGCCACCTCTGGAATGCAGGCAAGCCTTGGTTTCTTATGAAACCATTATGCTTTTGTAGTTGAAATTTTAACTGTAGTTGAATTTATGTATGGACTTGTCAATGTCACTGCTTTGATTGTATTTGAATGCTGTGTGGGAATCTATGCCTCTTTTTTTGAATGAAACATGTGCTAACCCTAACCCTAGCATAAGACTTGGTGTATTTTTTCATGCAAGTCTGCTTCTAACCTAACCTTAGCAAAAGACTTGGTGTATTGTTTCATGTCAGTCTGCCTAGCTGGTGGATGGTGCTAGATTAGCACTGGTGTTCCATGGCTGATCTTGTTAAGCAAGGTTTCCCTTTGATGCTCAAGAGCTTGCCAATGGCATTACTAGCAACCCAACATCTTCCCTTCAAATGCTGACTGGATGGGTTCCTAGCTGTTGGATGTTGCTAGATTAGTATTGGTGTTCCATGGTTTCCCATGATGCTCAAGAGATTGCTGGACTGGATTGACTTGGAGTTCAACTGCTGCTGAGTTTGATTGCACCACTCCAGGCCCCTGCTTACATGACTAGATGTTTCAAGAAACATAGTGTATCTAGTAGACTAAGTTGGGATTCTGGATTCTGGATCTTCCCCCAAGTCAAGCAAGGTCCCTTGTGGAGAATAACTTCCAACTTATGTACTGAGTGATTTTTAACTATTTTTCTCACAGTTGAAAAATTTTCCTTTGACCTTTCCAATGCCCCCCACATCATCATGGATGATTCCCTGCATACAATGGTGGTTAGAATGCTGAAGGCTGCCTTTGGGACAGCCCCTATGATCTCTTCCAGCTCTATTTTCTCAAATCACCAGCTCAGGAAGCCAAGGTAAGCCATAAGTAGTGATGCTACACTTGCTATGTATTTAGTTGGACAATAGACTTCAATCCTTGGCTGAGTTAATCAAAGTCAGGGCAACATTGCAAGGGGAATCTGGTCTAACTTCAGATGTTATTACATCTTTGGAAGTTAGGCTGGCATCTGCAGTCATTACACATGCCATCCTCAATCCCTGTAGGTGATGTTCCACAACAATTGTAAGTGAGACAAGTCTGACCCTTAATAGATGTGTCAGATTGGGATGCAGACAGGTTTTCTGAACCATTGGTGAATGCAAAGGACAGGACCATCCATTTTGAAAACCCAAAAATTGGGTATATCAATGCTCCTGCCACAGTTCTGGATGTGCATGGCAGGGTGATAGTATGGTATCTGCCTGGTATCATCCCAGATGCAAGGATAGTGAGTGTTTTCATTCTCTGACAACCCTTTGCTACAGCTTTTATATCCTAGGAACTTCTCAATTCCCTTCTCCTTTCCATAAAAGACAATCTTCAGACTGAGCCCAAGAACAAGCCAAAAGACAACAACAAGCTTAACAAATGATATGGCCATAAGCATCAGCCTGTTGACCAAGTCATGTATGGACATGGCAGGATTTCCATGTCTCCTGCCACATTCCAACAGACTCATGAGGTTTATCCAGGTGCTGTGATATCCATGGTAGGGGCTGACAAATTTAAAGAGGTTGGTTGATACACTCTATCAAAGCACATCCCTCAAACAGAAAGCCAATAGGGAATGGCTGCTCAAGATTTCTTATGTGGAACACTTCTGGAGCAATATAGCAAAGGTCTCATTACCAGATATGGCCAGGGCCAGTGGTCAAGCAATGTTGGCCAGGGCTGGCAGGGTGGAGAATGAGATATCCCTGGATTGGCCATCAGTCTATACCAACATTGATATTATTGTCAATCAGGAAACTCCCTCTCACTGAGATGTCACATTGGCCCCAACCCTTCTGGATTTATTAGTGAGCCTGGGTTCTCACAATGCTAAATTCCTTATTCCAGATCTGGGGGCTGAGCTGGCTTATTCCCCAGGCACCATGATTTTCCTATCAGGAAAAATCCTTCAACATTCTGTGCCAAAGTGGGAGAAGGGAGAAAGAATTGCATTGGAGCATTATATGAAGGACAAAGTACACAACTGACTCAAGGGCACAAGACCAGCATGGACTACCCAAAAGGACATTCTTGGGTTGGCTGTCAGGTACACTTAAAATACATTTTAGTGGCAATGTTTGGGTGCAAATATTTTAAATACATCTGATAACCTTGTTCCAGACTTGTGTGGTGTTGTTTTGGGGATGAAATTTTTTCAATACAGCTGAAAACCTTGCTTTTGACTCTTCCTGTGCTCAATCATGCATCATTGGAGAACCAAAGTCCTTGGCAAAAGCTCTGCAGGAGGTTTGTATAAATTTGAAGTCACTAAAACCTGGAGAGGAAAGGACACCTACAAGGAGGTGGATGCCAGACACCTCCACCTCCCATCTCAGAGTTAACCTTCAACTCCAAGGACCCCCAGGACAATAGGCTCCCAAAATGTTGTCCCAGACTCCTTTGACATGCCTACCTTGGATGTTACATTTTGCCCCTGTTTTCTCTTTTCACCTAGTGTTTACCTCATGTTCGACCCATTGGACTATTTTTCCTTTTTGAGCCATCTTCTCTCCAATCTGACAGCTCACTATCTCCACCACTAGCATTACTTGCTCTTTACATGCTTAGGACATGTGTCGCTATTGTTCAACCAATAGCATAGTTACCTCATTACATGTGGATCCCTCATGGTCCATCTCCTGTACAGTATTTAGGCTGTCAGCTCAAGTCCTGGAAACCCAGACTTGAGCTGCTCAATCATATGCAGTGTTCTCTCAGAACTTTTCCCTCAGTGTCCCTAACCTGGACCACTCTTACCAGTGTTGACCAAATCCTTTGTCATTTACAAAGGTTACTGCAGCTGTTGCTCAGTAGAAACCCATGGTCTGTGTTTGAGCTCTCCCTACATCTTGACTTTGGTTGAGCATAACAAAAGCTCAAGTCTACCAGCCTTTGGCCAAATTGGTCACTGTTTAGTGCACCACCACAAACCCCTGAAATAACTGACATTGGATGCTGTTGTGACCCACTCACAAAGAATTGTCCTCTGAAAACAAACAGGAGAGCACTGTCACCGACACCTCCTCCAATGAACCTGAACAACCAGATAGAGGATTCACCTCTGGTATCCTCTTGAACCTCTTCATTCAGTCTCTTGCCACACTTGGTACTCCCATCCCACCAGTACCTGCCACCACACTTCCCACACCCCTGCCCCCACCTCTGAACATGATGTCTGGTTCATCATCAAAGGCAATGGTCAGCACTATCACCACCTAGGCCACTGAATTGAAGATTGGTACCCTGTCTGATTTTGACAGTGACCAGAAGAATGCTATGAGTTGGCTGTACTCCATACAGACCTACCTCTTAGTAAATGAATAAATTTATGACAACAACACCAAAAAGGCTGTCTACACCCTGTTGTATATGAAGAAAGGTGTTGCTCATTCCTGGGCAGCAACCTTCCAGAAAATGTCTCTGAAAAAGAACCCCCCTGAGTTTCAGCTCCTTTGCTGATTTTACAAAAGATTTCAGGAACTCTTTCATGTCCTCTGACACAGCCAGTACTGCAATTGCCAAATTGCATACCATGAAACAGAAAGATTTGGTGGAACAATACATCACCAACTTTCAAACTGCTGCTGCTGACTCCACCATCATGGAAGACATTGCCTTAATTGAGTTCTTCTCACAAGGACTCAAACCTTTTATTGCAAACCATATCCATATGATGGAGACCACCCCCACAAAAATTACAGAGTGGTATACCCAGGCACAAAAATTTGATGCAAAATGGAGGAAGGTAAATGAGTTCTCTGGGAGAAAGGAAAAGAGAACATTCTACCCCAAGAACAATCTCAATGAAGAAAAAGATCCAAACACCATGGATGTGGATGGAGTGAGACTCTCCAAAGAAGAAAGAGACCATCACATCAAAGAAGGAAGATGTTTCGGTTGTGGAAACAAAGGACACCTCTCTCAAGAATGTCCAGATAAAGGGAAGACTCCCCAAAAGAAAGTCAAGAAAATCCACAAAATTGTGGAGGTTGAAGAGAGTGATGATGAAGAAAAAGTTGCTGGCCCTTCCATCGCCTTGGTAAACATTTCCAGGGCACTTGGAAAGGATTTTTTAGAAGGGAACTCTGTTGATGCCAGATGTTCCCCACACTAAGGACAGTTCCATTTCTGTTGTGCCTGTACTAGTATCTTCCACCCCAGATTGTACTATGCAAATTCCTGTTACACTCTACACATCGGAAGGAACAAAGAAAGCCATCAATACCACTGCACTAGTTGATTCCAGAGCTGAAATATCTTGCATTGACTGGGGATTCATGTGGAAGCATTGAATTCCTACTCAACAACTTGCAGAACCCATCCTTGCCAAAAACATGGATGGAACTCAAATTCCAAGGGAAAAATCCTGTTCTCTGCCACTCTTTACTTCAGGATCGAAGGACTTGTCCATCAGTCTTTCTTCCACATTATCAACTGCAGAACAGAAAATGTTATCCTAGGCCTCCGTTGGCTTCAAGAAAACAATCCTGTTGTTGATTGGAGAATGGGTACTCTCTCCATCGATGAAAAGACTGATAGGTCTAAGGAACTAAAACACAACATCTCTTCTGTTGTGGTTGAAGCACCCACCATAAACCTTGTGTCCCCCATTGAAATGAAAGGGATAAACAAGTTTATGGATTATGAAGAACCAGAAGATGAAACCATCTGAGCACACTTCATGATGTCGATTGGAAAACTTGTAGAAGAAGCCAAGAAGATTAATCCAAACAATAGTCTTCTTCAAAAGATCACTACAGCCACTGAATTGGCCCAAGAGGAACATAAGAAGAAACTGAAAGCTGTCCTCCCTGAAGAATACAAAGACTTCACCTCTGTTTTTGAAAAGCCCTCTGATGGGGTCTTACCTCCATCACAACCCTATGACCATGCCATCAACCTTGTGGAGGACTTTGTCCCCTAGGTGGCTAAAGCATACCCACTCTCCCCCTCTGAGAGAGAGTCTGCAGAGAAGTTCATTGAGGAAAACCTTTGGGAAGGAAAGATTCACCCCTTGAAGTCCCCTCAGGCTGCACCCTTCTTCTTTGTAGGAAAGAAAGATGGCTCCCTCTGCCCCTGCCAATATTATCGATATCTAAACAAGCATATGGTGAAGGACATGTATCCACTTCCCCTCATTTCTGATCTTGTCAATACACTCAAAGGAGCATCTATCTTTACAAAGATGGATGTAAGATTGGGCTACAATAATGTCCACATCAAAGAAGGAGACCAGTGGAAGGCCATGTTTATCATGCACAAAGGACTCTTCAAACCAACCATCATGTTCTTCAGGTTGTGCAATTCCCCTGCCACCTTCCAATGATTCATGAATGACTCATTTAGAGACATGGTTGCTGAAGGATGGCTGGTTGTCTACCTGGATGACCTCCTTATTTTCTCCACCGACCCAGAAGAACATAAACAAAGAACTCGTCATGTTCTTGAATGAATGAGGGAACTATCACTCCCTCTCAAGTTAGAAAAATGCCACTTTGATCTGACTGAGGTCAAATATCTTGGAATGATCATCAAGGAAAACACCATCACCATGGACCCTGTAAAGGTCCAAGGCATCACTGAATGGCCTGTTCCAAAGAAGGTCAAGGATGTGCAATCCTTTTTAGGATTCACAAACTTTTATAGGAGATTCATCCCCTACTATTCAGACATTGCCTGACCCCTGATTGACCTTACCAAGAAGACAACCACTTGGGAATGGTTGAAGAAGTGCCAAACTGCCTTTAATCTCTTGAAAAGGATCTTCATGGCACAACCAACCCTCCGAATGCCCAATACCTCTCAGCCACTTGCAATTACAATCAACACATCAAAGTACACAACTAGAGGCATTCTCCTCCAGGAAGATCCCAATAGCCAGTAGCAACCATGGCCTTCATTTCCCAGTTGTTTAACCCTGCAGAAAGAAACTATGACATCTATGATAGGGAACTACTAGGGGTTATTTGTGGGTTCAAGTCTTGGAGGCATTACCTCCATGGATCACCATTTCCCATCAAAGTATTCACTGATCACAAAAATATGACCTACTTCAAAGCACCTCAAAACTTGAATCATTGCCAGGCATGGTGGCTCCTGACCTTGCAGACTTTGATCTGCGACTCAAACATGTCCCAGGAAAGGACCTGGCCACTCCTGATGCACTCTCCCAACAACCTGATCATGTCCCTGATGATGATGATGATAACAAAGGAGTTACCCTCCTCCCACAGACACTGTTTGTTAATCTCATTGACACCAGTCTCACTCAAAAGGTCATGTCCTCTTCCATGAAAGACCCTGTGATCCAGATGGCACTTCATGCCATAGAAAATGTTGATATGCCACTCCTGTTCAAGTCCCATCTCTCTGATTGGAGATTTGACAATGGAGTGTTGCTTTATAAAGACTGGGTTTACATCCCAGACAACCCTTCCCTCTGCTGAACCATCATGTCCAACCACCACAACCACCCCTCTGCTGGACACCCTGGTGTCTTGAAAACCTGCCAGCTTGTCTCCTCTGAGTTCTGGTGGCCTGGACTCACTTCATTTGTCTGAAAATATGTTGATGGCTGTGCTGTATGCCAGCAAAATAAGGCAAACACCCACCTGATGACACTGCCCCTTACACCCATCCCCTTGACCTTGACCCACCCCTTCCAGCAGATCTCTTGTGATCTGGTTACTGACCTTCCCCTGTCTAAGGGATATGACTCTCTCTTGGTCATGGTCAACCATGGGCTTACAAAGGGGGTAGTTTTAACACCCAT